GTTTCGTTCTATTTTTTTACACCTACAGGGGAGAGACCTCCATACTTCAAATCATATCAGTTCCCTTTTCAGATTCCTCTGTTGTTTCACCATTGATCAGGTTTTATATATCCTTTATTCCGTTTTCATTTTATTACATCATACACTTTTTGACTATTTCCTTCAAATTATTCCATTTATTAAGTTTTATGCACTCATCAACGATTACAGTTCTTTGTCGTTTGTTATCAACCCAGTTATCAGTTCTTTATCAATCAAGCTAATCAATTTTTTTTTTTCCATTTAGATTTCTAATCATGCGCTCACCCCAAGTTGAAGTTTTATTCCCCCCATTCTCACCTCAGTTAACCGGGGATTTAAATAATTATTTGCAGAGTACCCTTAGACTGAATGAATGTCCTCTTCCATGTTTTTGATGATGTTCTTCTAGATATAAGCAATTTGCTTTTTTGTGCTGATGTAATTTTCTGTTGAAGTTTCAGAAGCTTTGTTTCGTTTCTTTTTTTTTTTTTGCTACAGGATTGAGCGGGCTTATTTCTCTGTTTTATCTATATAAACGCTTAATTGGGGCATATCTGACTTATATTTTATTTTCTTTTACTATGAATTTCCCTTTTATTTAAAGTCACTCAAAAAAGGTTGCTAGAGTTGCATGTCGACAAAGGGATGCAATAAATTCACAAGACTAGGCTTGAAAGGCAAGCTGTAAGTAAAATTTGAAATTATTTGGGTTTGGCAATGTATTTTGTAAATTATATTTAGATGGCCAGCTTGAGCTTGTAGACATCAATTTAATTGTGTATGTTTTCCTCTCACAGCCTGACACAATTGCAGGAGACATTGTTTTCATCCTACAAGTAAAGAAGCACCCCAAGTTTAATAGGAAAGTTCAACAGGAAGCACTTTGTGGTTTCTAGCTTGTCATTACCCATATGGCTGGGATGCAACTCCTGATGATTAAATCAAACCCAAGGAAAGTCGTCAAGCTAGGTACTAATCAATTAATCTCATAAAAACTCTTTGTTGTAATTTCATTCACGTAATATATTCTTGTGTAAAGGGGCAAAAATACTTACAAAGTGGTCAGCTAGGAGCACCCAGTATCCTAAAGTGAAAAAAAGAGCATAAATACCCATAACGTTACATGAGTGGTTGCAAAAGTGACCAAACCATTAACTTTAACTGTTAAATGCTGACTGTGCATGCCATGTGTCAGCCTTTGCTGACGTGAACTAATAAAGGGATAAAAATAGCCATAAAGTCATCAGCCAGGAGTAAAAATATCCATAATGTTACTGGAGTTGGTGTAAAAGTGACCAATCCATCAAATCCCTTAAATGTTGACCATTTAGTTGACATCTAAGTAAAAATTGACTATTTTTTTGCTGATATAGACAAAAAATATGCCTAGATGAATTTTTACAGAGGTTAATCGATAATTGCATGATGTTAAAATCCATACCACATAGTTTCTTTCCATCGCCACGTATCCTGCCCCCTCCCTTCCTCCCTCTCCACTCTTTTTTCTTATCTACAAAACCTAAGATTCAACATAGGGAGATAGGTTGTACATAATCAAAGATCAAGACTAAACATACCTCCTATGCTGTCCTACCTTAAGAACATTGTCACAACCTTAAGCAATTTTATTTATGATAGGTTTAAAATTTTCAAATGGTTTTAGCCACTATTGCAAAGAAACAAGCGATTTAATTAAATATTCAGTCAAAATGATATTTTTTCACATGATATGCATACAATGATTGATTAACCTTCAAAGAATTTCATTTGAAAATATTTTTTTGTCCATGTCAGTAAAAAATGATCAACTTCTACTTAGGTATTAGTTAAACGGTCAACATTTAAGGGATTTAATAGATTGATCACTTTTACACCAACTCTGATAACGTTATGAGTATTTTTGCTCAGGGTCGACAACCTCGTGGGTATTTTTGCCTTTTTATTAGTCCACATCAGCAAAGATTGACACGTGGCTTGCACAATCAACATTTAACAGTCAAAGTTAATAACTTTAGGTTAAAGTTAACGGTTTGGTCATTTTGCACCCACTCACATAATGTTATAAGTATTTATACCCTTTTTCTTACTTTAAAATATTGGGTGCCCTTGGCTGATCACTCTGTGAGTATTTTTATCCCTTTACCTTATATTCTTTTCTGGTTAATGTTAATTTTGTTTTGTAGATAAATGATGAGGGAATGCCACATCATAACAGGCCATTCATAAGGGGATATGTTATGATTGGAAGAAGAGAAGGAGAGAAACAAAGGAGTGAAAGAGAAGGAAAGAGGAAGAAAGATGAGAAAAAAGGAAAGAGAGGAAGAGATAAGAGACAAGAGACAAAGGGAAATAGAGAATAGGGAGAATTGAACTATGTTATGTATTTTTAATTTTGCATAATATCTAACTACACTTAGGATACCTTATATAGGCTCATTCATCCCCTTATTCTAACAAAATCTAATTAACCCCCAACTAACTAAACTATAATTTATTTATTTATTCTTTACATATTATGATATTAGAAGTGAGAGAGATGTATTTGAATATGAAAGGATAGTGATATTTCTTTTGTACATATATATTATGAACATATACCTGTGATCAATAGATGCTTAAAAGTGGGTAGTATTTTAAAGGAATAACCAAATATTGTTCTCAAGATTGGACTACAACTTATTTGATTTCTACACTCAATTTATTTGTGCAAACCTTAATATTATATTCGTCTTACAGATTTCTCTCCATTTGTAGATATTATTTCAGCCAAAGGAATTTAGCTCAACAGTTGTTTAAGTGCTGGAATGTAATGTGTGAATTTTGTGGTGCCTATTTGATGAAAATGGATACCCAAGTTGCAGCCTGCTATTTGACCTTTCTCAAAAAATTATCTTGCTAACAGGGTGAGATTTCCATTTTTGCATATTTATTTTCTACTTTGGTTTTTTTTATTTTTAGAATTTTCACCTCATCTCCCTTATGCAGTATGGATCAATGTTCTTCATTTCTTAGTAGTTTATTGATCTATTTTTCTGAGTTTGTTTTGAATGCTGCATCTTCCATCGGCATTCTTTCAGATCTTCTTCCCTCTTTCGTTTTTCTTTTCTACAGAAGCCTGTGTTTTCTGAATTTGGTGAATTGGCATGTGTATCACTTCCTTCATCTTAATAGAAGTATTCATCCGAAATACATATCGATAACAAAAGTATTTCTGCATCTATTTTCCTCTGCATGAGGCCGATGTTTCTACTGAGTTAGAAGTAAGTCCTCAAGTCTTCCCTTGCAGAACAATTTAGTTGATCTTTATAAGTAATGAGAAAAAATGAAGCTTGTGTCAAATAGTATTTTTATCCAAAACGAAGGGGCAGCAATTTTGCAGAACACAGAGGAGTTAAAAGAAGAATTAAAATAAATGCATCGAGCATAAATATGATCTCCTTAGGAATGGAGTGTTCTCATGTGATATGGTATGAACTCTTGCACAAAGCAGGCTCCAAATTGGTTTCTTTGAATGATTTAAATGCATCAAAGCACAAATCTAATCTAAATAGCCTTACCATCAATTTTAATTTTTTGTCGATCGTGTTTGATCTTTTTTCAACAAATTATTATGTGTTTTTTATGTTATTAATATACAATACTACATTGTTAATATATATCTGTATATCAATGATAAACAAGCTAGCAAGTTTACACTGATATGGCTAATGTATCGATGATATATAATGATATGTTATTGATATACTATTATAGATCAACATAATTAGACAATCATATATAAACTTATTTATCATTGATATATAGTCATATATCAATGATGTAGTATTGCAAATTGATAAAATGAAAAATATATAATCATTTATCTAAAATGAATCAAATACAGTTCACAAAAAAATTTAGACTTTTAACTTGTCATAGAGAATCAAATACCTAAACTAATAAAATAAAAAATCTTGAATCTATAGCCCCGTTCTCCGACCGGCATGCTTCGTTTTGTCAACATCTCTTGCCTCGCATTTTTATCTCGCTATCATAATTGTGACTCACTCACATTGCTCTACTTTCTTTCATCTTTGAGTTGTTTCGTCCATCGTAAGTTGTATTAATTACAATGTAGAGTTGCACCAAAAATTTATACTGGTTTGGTTCGAAGCACAAGACAACATTTCGAGTTGTGAAATCCTCTTTTCTCACACCCACTAGGTGTTTTGCAAACCCTCTTAAAGTTCCCACAACCTTACGAACACTAAACAAGAATCATGATTAAATGCTTTACAACAGAATGAGTCTCTCTCAATAGATTGGACTATACAATGAAACACAGTATATGAGGTAGTTAGAACTGTGTAACTCAAGATAAATGCAGGATTGAATAAGGCTTCTATTTATAGTTTTTGTTAGATTATGTAGCTGTATGTTAGGCATGAATTCTAGACGTTATTCACAAGAACTTGCCGTTGCTGTTGGGGTGTATTACATGCACTTGTCAGGAAAAACAAGTTCTAGTAGTCAAGCATTAATATACATTTAAAAAAAAAAAGTCCCAACTTATACAGAAACACGATAGTCAAATATATAATGGAAAAATATTAATGAAGTATTGAAAGCAAGAAATCAATTTTCTCAAAAACAAAAGCCTCTCATATTTGAGTAAGAAATAACTAGTAATCAACTAACCATATTGTAACAATCCAAAAAATGATTATAAAAAGTAGAATGTCAATAAGATAAATTTATTGCATTATTCATTACTTATTGCATTTTCATTATTCATTGCTTATTGCATTTTCATTATTTATTGCTCTCGCTTAAAATGTCTAGTGTTCACTGTTCAAATCCTGGTCTTGCCAGAGGAATATTTATTTTCATTTTAGCCTGTTTTGAACGAAATTACTGTTTTACCCTTAAAAAAATTAATATGGAGACTGGAGAGAAATCAGGACAAGATACACGCGTTCAGCTTCTCTTTTCCCTTTCAGTCATTCTACCTGCACTCTGATCTTGCTCTGATTTGCAGCAGCGACAAGTGTACGAAAACCCTTACCCTTCATCTCAGATTTCTTCTTCTTCCATTTAACTCGCCGTCGACAGGTGCCGGAGTTGTTCGCCGCTGCTGTGACAACCTGCCGCGAGTCCTTCCCCTGCTTCACCGTCATTTCTCTGCTCACCTTCCTTGAGGTCGTGGTGAGTGCGTGGGCGTCTTCTTCCTCCTCTTCGATTGTAGCTCGCCGCCGCTGTCGGGGAGAGCTCAGAGGGTCCGTCTGCCAACTCATGGGTTTGAGTTGTGAGTTTTCTCTCTTTTGCTTCTTCTTTGGTGCCGTCAACATTCCTCTTCCCTTCCCTTTGCTCAGTGTTCTTCTCCCTCCCCTGTTAGTGTTGTGCTGTGGGAGTTAATTCTTGGCTGTGAGAGGTTCGTTTTGTTGGCCGTCGCTCTTTTCGCCTGCACTTGCCGTCGTTCCTTCCTCCCTGTGTCTGCCAATGTGAACGAAGGTATAGAGGTCTTGAGTCCACTTCTCTTTTATCGTTTCTGTGTGCGCGTGTGCCTGATGACTGAAGTGGTGATGCTTTATTTTTCTGCTATTGTGAATGTCTGAATAAGGATGATAAATTGATTCAAGCTGAAATTTTAGTGTTAGAGCAAGATGGTAATTAATCAGTTTGATTTTTTATGGAATTAAGAATGATATTCCTGTTGGAAGAAATGGAATTTGGGATTTTGTTTGATTTAAATGCTTATATTGTAAATTGTTAGGAGATGGAATCAAAGAGGAAGAAGTTTGGTTTGAGTTTAAGAATTAGTGAACGGAAGGTTTTTGCATGATGTCTATAAGAAGAAACTCTATTTGATTTTGTATATTTTTGAAATTTCATTGATACTTGTGAGTAGTATTTTCAATTTGAGTGCTATTACTTTATAAACTTAAATTGAAGATTGCAAAGGAAATTTGAGTGTGAAATTAGCATGGAACTATTTGAATTCTCAAAAATAAATGGTTGTCGATGAATTATGTGATAAGAGATTTGAATATTGAAAAGCTTTACTGTGGGATTTGGAAATAATGTACATTTGGAGTTTTGACAAAAAGTTTAATGGGGGATTGTATATTTGATGGAACATTGAGTTATGACTTTTGAGGGATTTTTACATGTAGAGTATTGATTTTAAAATTTCAAATTTATTATAGCTAAATTTTCATAGTGATAATGTTGGAAGGAAATTATTGAATTTATTGAAACTTTTGGTGTTTGAACATCACGGATAGTTGAATAATGAAGATTGTGTTTGAATAATATTTTAAAAGAAGCAAACATATATAGCACATCAGAATATGTGTAATCAAGTATAGTTCATGGTAATTGACCATCGAGCTCTGAGAAGGTGAACTGAGATACAAAGCAACTATTTGAATAATGATTTTCCTTTAAAAAAAACAATACTCAACTATTCTTGAACCAATTATCAATTACTTATTGTGTTTTAACCATCTATGCTCTGAGCAGAAATTATAGTAATTAACTAGCATTCATATAGATGTATTTCAAGCCAAAAGCCAAAGCGGGATAGTCAAGTACTTCTCTTAATACTTGAATAAGAAAAACTAATCAAAATAGTTTAATTTGTTAAGAGACAAAAGATAAGTTTAAAGAGATACTTGGAAGTCAAAAGCAATGCTTTGAGTACTAAAGATGCAACGCAGAAAGATTTGTCTCAGAATAATTTCAAAATTTTTTGAAATTTTTTTCAAGTCATGGTATGCGGTATTAAAAGAGTACAAACTCACTTGAGCATTCAAACTTGAGTAACAAAGCTCTAATCATTTACAAAAGAAATATTCTAATTATAATGATAATAAACATAGGCTTGAGTCTTTTCTTCATGTCAACTCTTGTAAAAATATGCTCTTCAAACTCTGCAAAACGCTCTTTAAGGTTTGGAATAATCAACAATAGAAATACTAACACAATTCTCTTCCAATTTACTTGTAACTATAAAAGTAGGAGTTGAAATACAAGCAGGTAATGACACCTAGAAAGAAAACTGCAAATGCTCCGGAAAAAGTCCATAAGAAGGCATCTCGGAAGCCCACTTCCTCTGAATGATGTGGTTGTATGTTTCTCCCTGATGGATTATCAATAGATGAACACTTTTGTTGTAGAGGAGGACCACAAAGAAAAGGATTCCCTTCATAACAACTTGGATCAAAAGTTGAAAATTGATTCTTCATGTCAGGTGTCTTCCCGGATAGATTATTGTGAGCCACAGAGAATACAGACAAAGAGTACAATTGTGTAAGTTGGGAAGGAATATGGCCTGTCAAGTTGTTGTATGAAAGATCTAAACTCTCAATTTGCATAAGGCCAGAAAATGTTTCTGGAATTGGCCCAGTCAAATAATTGTCTGACATATTTAATGTATGAATATTGTTCAAGTATCCAATTTCTAAAGGGATTTCACCTGTCAATTGATTATTTGAGAGATCTAGGCCGGACATAAAATCTAATATTTTTCCTTCATATGATTCATACCTGTTTTTGGACATGAAGTTCACTTCTTGTTGCTCATACAATGTAGAATTTCTTTCATATTGATCATGAACAAGATCACCGCTTGTGTAATTAAAGTAAAATACCGGGCCTCTTGTTGTCCAAGGGACAAAAAATTTTCCTAATAAGGTTCCATCCATCTGATCCTTCTTCGTAAATGTGATGTTATTTAAGCAATGTGGTATCCCTCCAGAAAGCTTATTTTGTGAAAGATCTAGTATACTTATGTTCTTGAGCTTACACATTTCCATAGGAATGGATCCTTCAAGTTTGTTATCCTTTAGGAGGAGGACCCTTAAATTCAACATTGACTCGAACCACCTTGGAATTTGACTTGAAAATTTATTCTTTGTCAAATCCAAAGTTAACAGCAAGGATGATTTGGCCAAGACAGAAGGTATGGATCCTATAAAATGATTGCTCCGTAAATGCAAGTACCTCAGTGATGGCATATTTAAACAATTTGGCAAAGTGCCATTGATTTTGTTTTGTGAAAGGTCTAGGTATGTAAGCTCGGCTAAATTACAAAAGCTTTTTGGTATTGGACCTGCCATAGAATTTTGTGACAAAATGAGGTAACCCAAGTGCTTGAAGTTTCCAATCCAGCTAGGAATTTCACCATCTAGTTGGTTTGTACTTAAATCCAGCATTCTTAATTCCAAACTGTTAATCATCCCTTCTCGTACTTTTCCTGTGAAGTTGTTGCTGCTTAGATCCACAATCAACAAATGGGTGAAATTTGAACCAACTGGTAAACATGGGCCAGTTAAGTTGTTGTTTGACAACTTTAAAATCCTCAAGTCATTGATACCCTTACCAAATTCTTGGGGCAAATAGCCAGACAAATTGTTATTGGACAAGTCAAGTGAGTTCAATTGCTTCATGTCACCCAGTGAAGCTGGAAATCCACCTTGTAATGAACTTGAAGACATGTTCAAAGAAAGCAAGTTGGGAAAAATAGAGCCAACATGAGGAGGGATTTCATCATTAATGGGGTTAGAGGAAACATCAAAATATTGCATATCCATAAATCTTAAGGTGGAGTTAAGCTCAAAAGGACCAGTCAAGAAGTTGTGGCCAACCTTAAAAGAAACTAATTTTGTGTTGTTCTTCAAAAGCCAGTTCGGGAAACTTCCTGAAATGTTCAAATAGCCAAGCTGTAGAACTCTCAAGTCATATTGATGAAGAAGAAAAGAGGGTATGCTACTTCTGTTGTTTCTTCCTTCATTCATAGTGCATTGGATGACATTAAAAATCATTAATTGAAAGGAAGGGATGAATTGAGGATTTTCAGTTTCAAGCTTGAGATTGGGGTTATTAGAACACGAGATCGAGAAGAGTTGAAGGTTGGAGTGGTTGGCAAACAAAGAAAGCGATGCTATGCCAGTGAAATAGGTTTCTTCTAAAGAAATGAATCTGAGGGACTTTAGAGAATGAAAGAGTGAGGAAGGGAAGGGTCCTTCAAAACCATTGTATTGAAGGTCAAGCACCCGAAGAGATGTCAAATTATTGAGGCATGAAGGAAGGTGACCCTCAAACTTGTTGCGGCCGAGAGACAATACTTTTAGATTCTTCAGCTTGCATAAGCCACCTGCAACACATAAATTTTCTTCATTATTATAGTTTTAATTTGTCTATGAGTCTTTAAGTGACAGCTTAAACTTTGAGATTAGTGGATTTTTTTTTTTTTAAAAAAAAGAAGGGGTGTATATGGGCTAAACCAGTTTAAATGAAAATTCGACTTAACAAATGAATTTAGATTAAATATTTGAGCCTTAAAAAATCCTCAATTGTAAGCCTAAAAGTGAATATTAACTAACCAAATGTTATGTAACGTTCTCAATCTAATAGCAAAATATGAACACAAAATATGTTGGATAATGGTGTTATTGCCTCAATTTCTCAGTGACGAATACATAAAACAGACAAAGAAGTTACTCAAAATGGCTACTGACATAAAGTACCATTACAGCTTGAGGAAATTAGCAAGAAAGGAAAGTGACAGAAGAGTGCAGCAAAAGAAGAAGCACAGAGGGAAGAAGAAAGTCGTACAGAAAGGAAAGTGACTCTCACTAATTGCGTCATCATACTCCCAAGCCCATTACTACATAGCCCAATATTATCCCCTGGCCCATTATTTTGTATTTCCCAATCAAATCCAAAAGTTCCATTAAGCCCGTTCGTTACAAAATGTTGGGAAATTTAGTTCCAAAGCATAAATAAACAAAAATGCAAAAAGTTAAGTGTCCCAAGGTCATTACTCTCTTTAAAAAGTCAATCCAGTGAGATGTGCAATACACCTGCTTATATAGTTAGGATTCTTCCTAAATCCCTCCAATATGGGATATGATAGCTCTCCAGACCAATCTATGACACCTTTATTATGGGTGGCCTACTAGATAAGCCTATTGACGGGACAAACTCAGGCTTGACTCTGATATCACTTTATTATGAGACTATTACTCTTTCTCCAAAATGTTAATCCAATAGATTGTGTAGCGTACCCGCTTATATAGTTAAGACCCTTCACAAATCTCTTTGATGTGGGATGTGACGTAAGGCTAGCTTAGTATGTATGTAGGTAGGTAGGTTAGGAGACCATATAAACAAAAAATAGGAAGGGATGCAAAACTATTGTTTAAATATTTTTCTTTCAATCTCAATAAATATTGTTTAGGAAAATTATTATATAAGATCTCACACAAGTAATCTAAATACAAAAAAAATCTCATGAAATTATAAAATTACTATCAAGTCCCATGTTCTTTATTGTTTGCCCTTAAAGATTAATCTTTATAGTCGATGATATTATAACCTTGTGCCTTACCAAAAATACCCTTACCCTAATTTTTTTAAAAAAAAGAAAGCTGCGGATCATATAATACCTTGTTGTGGTAGGGAGCCTTCCAGGCTATTTTTATAAAAGGACAACGTCCGCAAGGAGGCTGGAGATGTAAGAGACGCATTAGATTGTTGAAGACTACCCTCTAAAGTCTTCGAATTGTCTGAATGAGAAACACCTGTCAAATATAATATAGAAATATGGTAAAATATGATAATAAGGAAATAAAACACATGTATACAAGTTTTATGTCCTTTTTCTTTTCTTTGCATGCTATATTCCTTTTTGAATAAAAATTAATTTATTTATAGTTGAGAATTGTCTGAATGAGAAACACCTGTCAAATATAATATAGAAATATGTTAAACATTTGATAATAAGGAAATAAAACACATGTATACAAGTTTTACGTTCTTTTTCTTTTCTTTGCATGCTATATTCCTTTTTGAATAAAAATTAATTTATTTATAGATGCCATTATATCCTTAAGGTTGGTTACGCTATTTCTTAATTTATATATAGATGTCAAAATTCATTGATCAAGGTACTAAATGATTCAATAATCCCTGTTCTTTTACTTTCAGTCATGTTACCATCATATATTAAGTAAAAGCAGCATCTTATCCAACTATCGATATTCTCAACGATTTCTAATTAAACTTCAATTCATCTCTCCCAAAAAAAAAAAAAAAGAACCAAGGAGATCACAAGAAATTTTAAATATGGCATCAAAAATAATTAGGAAAATAAAAATTATGCACCAAGGAACGGGACTTCCGTGAGCTTGTTGTCTTCCAGATACAAAGTTTGCAAGTTGTCCAATCTAATTTCTCCAAGTAGCCCTGCTCCATTAACAAATATCATCAGTTGCTCTTAGAGCTCATTTGGTTCAATTCTCAGATCTTTAGAGATATACCACAAAGTCAAAGATGGGAGCACAAGTGGTCCTGTCATTGACTTTCTATTACATCTCCAATAAGATCTGAGAATTGAAACAAACGAGCTCTAAGATAATGTTACAAGAACATGAATTCAAAGTTATCATTTGACTTTGTGTGATCCCTTCTCTATTTAATTTTTTTATACCATGAAATATAGTTTAATATATATATATAAATTTTGTGCCTATTAAATATATATATTTGATACTTTTGATGAGATAAATTTCTCTATTAAACTTCTCCATAAAACATAAATACAATATGTGTTAAACATGATATGACATTAAATAATGAATTATATGTTTTTAATTTGATACTTTTGATGAGATAAACATGAACTTTGTGCCTATGTATACCAGATTTTTTAATTAATTAAATATTGTGCTCCTCGATGATTTTAAGGAGAACGACAACAAAGTTCTAAAAAAATAATTAATGATAATTAAATCCCTAATAAAATTTTTATAAAATAAATTGTAAATATTAATTCAAAAAATTATAAACAGAAATCTGAATTAAAAGTAATTGTTATATTCAGAATTTAAATATTGTATTTGCAGTTAGACCTTTTAAATTTAAAATTATTTGAATCAATATTTACAAATGTTTTTTTAAAAAAAAATTTATTGATGACCTAACTGTCATCAATTTCCTCAACATAACTATCATTCTCCCTAAACTTTAAGAAATTAAAAAAATAAAAACCATCATTACATGCAATCGCTTATATTTCAAGTATAGTCGTTGGATTGATTCAACAATTCACATCGATCCTTTTCACAAATCTATATTCTAAACGATTGGAAAG